TTTTACTGTACATGAATTACATATCCTTCGACTATAGTATACCTTCAATATGTTATACCTCAATTATACTCTGCATTAGGAGAAAACTTCTACCTTCAAACAAAGGAAAATAATACCTCACTGAGTCCTGTCCCACAAAAAAAGGGAGAATGGGCCTCCTAGATCTTTTTTTTTTTTTTTTCCTAGTTATATCCTTCTGATGCTAGAGATTGCTGCTCTCTGGAAGCCGGCATCATTTCGTAGAAAAAAACAGTATTCTGAATCAGGCAATCCTGACTCTGACTCTCGTCTCTGCCATTTACTAAGAGTGTGACTTTGGGAAAATTCTTTAACTATCCTGAGCCTCTGTTTCCCCATCTGCAAAATGTCGGGACCACAGAAATACCTCCCTCATAGGTGGGCCATTTGGGAGCTCAATGAGACTACCCTCCTTTCTGCCATCACTTAAAAATGAATGAATGAATAAACCAGTAGAGGTCGATTCGTGGTAGAGGTTCTTACATACCTCTTAGGATTTTCACACACGATTCCTACAGGAAGAGTGAAGAAGGAATTCCTGCCACCTATAAGTGTATTTCTCTGTGGTTTTAAAAGGGGCTTTTGGAAAAAGTAACAGGGTTCTGGCAAAACTCCATCGTCTGTCAAACAACAACCGAGAAAATGTTTTCCTATTAAAATTTGGAATTAAAGATGAAAGCACCACGGTATTTTGTCCATCATGCTGGTACCTCTCATCTGCCTCCCTAGGTAACCTGAATTGCCTAGAAGCATCAAAGGGCACATGGTTGGAAGTCGAGGATTTAAACTCTCAGACACCTAGAGGAAAAGCTAGACTTGGGACCAATGGAGACAAATACCGGGAGAAGTGGGGGGTGGGGCAATTTTCAGGCCCACTGGGAATTACATCAAAGGGTGGCAGGAGTCACCACTCTCTGAACCATCAGGTGACCCTTAGGGATATTTTGACAAACACCTCTTGTCTTGAAAACATTGTCCTATAAAGAACCGTGAAGTGGGTTCCCACATTGTGACCACCCCTCACATGGGTGGCTCAAGCCAGAGCACTTGTGTGTTTAACTGGATTTTCAGGTGCCATTTGGGCTCAGTCTCTCACAAAGCACACTACTTGGCTTCAATTATGGTAGAAAAATATTTCTAAAATGTTTGAACCCACATCTCTGACTTAGTCAGGAGAGTTAACTGATTGAAACAATCTTTCTTTGACAGATTGTAGTAGCCATCCATCTGGGCATGGATCTTTGTTGTCCAGGCTATAGAGATGAAGGGGTTTGGGCTGCCCCTTTGCTGGTCCTTAGGATGGTTCAGAAAAGTCATCTGCTGTTTGCTTATTTGCTTGTTTGTTTTATGAGCTTCCCAGAAGGAGTTAGCATCGATGCATGTCTTTTCCATCCCGCTGGAGTGAAAGATGGGGATCGAGCTCTCTTATTTCTTTCGTAATGAAATCTGGGCCATTGCACATTAATCAAGGTGCCAGTGTATCTTGGAGATTCAAGGAAGAAACTGACTGACAAAAAAACTCTGGTTGGGAGACTTTAACATGGGGCAGAATTCACTGAGGATCGACCCTAGAGCAGGTTAAGCACTTCCTGTACACTACATCATTGAATCTTTCCAACACACCATCGGCTGCGTATTTTCATTATCTCCATCTGAGGAGCTGAAATAATTGCTGTAATTACTTGATAAATGTCTGAGCCAGGTCTTACACTCAGTCCTGACCAATCGCAGAGGCCATGTGACATTCTGCCATCTTGCTGATCATCTTAAGCTCCTGACTTGATGTGGTTGGTGCCTATCATGTGGCATTATTCACTGGTTTAAAAAATGTTTAAGAAGTTTTAAAAAAAGTTTGCTGTAGAAAGCTCGGTAAACTCTGATAACCAGACTCACTTTCTAAAAGTTTCAATGCAGTAAATAAGGGGAGACTCAGACAGCTTTTAGGGTTGACCACCAAGTTTAAAAATACTTCTGGAAAATAAATTTGTCTTGGTGGCTTTAATATTCAGAACATCAGGTGGGTTTGGGCCAGTTACTAAAACTCTGACCCGCTTCTGCATGTGAAAAATGAAGAAGCTGAATTATATGGTCTCTAAGTTCCGTCTCAATTTTAAAATCAGGAAATTAAACAATTCTACTCATTCTTGTTATTAGAATACCCATGGACCATTAAATGGTCCCATTCATTCACTCTCAACTCTTTGGAGAAAAGGGTAGTAAATGTTGATGGGTTTTAATTAATTAATTAACTAATTAATTAATTAATTTCATTTGTTGAAATCACATTTATATTTCAAGAGAGCCCTTTTCTCTCTACAATTCGGGAGCTTGGGCATTTAACATCTGCTGATAATACAGCACATGACTACAGAATGGTCTCGGTTCCCAAGGAGTTTACTGCCTAGTTACCAGTAAAAGGTCGCACTGGGGAAACGTCAGAGGCTAAACCTCACTGGTCTTCACATTTTAAACATTTTTTAAACATTTCATTAATGAGATGCCTTTCGTCATTCACACCATGGTCACATTATGCCTTAATAAAGAACTCCTGAAAGAATGTTTATTATGGGATTTGCATGTCACTTGTGAAGGCAGATGCTGGACTGACTACTGGGTAACCCACTGAGTCTGACTGTCCCCCAGCTGGCTCCTTACTGGACCTCCACTCACTAGAGATTCACAAGACCATCTGTGACTCAAAGAAAGCCTGTGAACTCCCACAGTAGTCAGAGAAGGACAGATATAGGGGTGTTGCCTTCCTACTAAGCTATTCTTTGATGCTTTTCAAAGATCAGCTCATTCATTCATTCAACAAACATTTCAGGAATTCTTCCTTTGTGGAAGAAAGAGTTACTGAAGGAATGTCAAGTAAATTTTCATACAGCAAACTTTATTCCAAACGCACTGCAGACATTTGCTGTGCACAGGGACCCTGAACAAATCCTGGGGAGAATCAAAGAACTCTGTGGGAATACCCATCCATTATTTACCCAGAGAGCTACTGGGTTTTGAAGGGGGATGAGACACTGGGCTATGTAGAACAAATGAGTTGTTTAGGGTAATGTGATCAGTTCAAAAGGAAAAAGACATCTGGACTGGATTTTTTTTTAGTGCCAAAAAAAAGAATCAAATATAACAGCAGACGCTATTTATTACCTAAATACAAGGCTCAGGAAGGGAGGCAGCCACCAAATAGTATACGAAAGTTCTAGTTACATCGGCACAGGCACCGTGACGCCTTCTCTCCTAGGCAACAGCCCTCGTGTCTTCCTAGGACTATTTGAGTCTGTTTGAACAAGTTTAAGATGCATGTGCTATGCAAACATGCAATATGGCATAGAGGAATCTGAGGTCATGGGGATGTAGATGAAGGTGGAGTTAGGGGTAGAAATTCAACGTGACACATGGGGGACCGGCATGTGAGGTCTCGTGAAGCTTTGGATTTACGAAGCCAGCGTCTGTCAACACAACCTGTGACCTTGATATTATCAATTTGGCTCAAGCTCTCTTTGAATGATTCCATCTGGATGTCCTAGGAAATCAGGGAACGTGAATTCCTAAAGATAGACTTCTGGTTCGAACACGTTCTAAGCTCCTAGTATGCGCCTGGCTCTCTGCCAGGCACCAAAACGGTTGTTTTGTGACTCGGACGCTAGTAGAGCTTGGCTGCCACAAGCATCATAGACGTGATAGCGTCTGTGCTCGGGTTTCTGGTGGGAGTTCATGACGGAATTAGGAATCAGGATATTTTATCCTGGAATCGATCAGGAAGTGTCTCCCTCTCCATCACTAATGAGGGGCTTGGCAGTGGGAGAAGAAGAGAGAGTGAGAGACACGTGATCTGCGGGTCTTGCGCCCGCCTGGCTTTGCTGTGACTGTGGCTTCCGTGCACTGAGACTCTGCTATGAGTCCGTTGTTCAGGAGCCTGGGTCACCGTCATGCTCATGGACGAGGAAGGAACGGACCGACGGAGGACCAGGGCCGTGGGAGCTCAGGCTCCAGAGTGATAAAAACACGGGTTCAAGTCTCGGCTACGTCGCCCGTGCCCACAGGCGGCTTGATTTGGGGCAAGTTAAATTACCTTCCTTGAGCCTCAGTTTCCTGATCTGAAAATTGGGACAATACCTGTGCCTTTCTCTTTGGATCACTGTGAGAAAATGAGACAGTGTCCAGTGCAGTGTCTCGCATTTGGTAAGAATTCCAGGCTGCCCACCCAGAAAATATTTATATCCCGAAGAGCTGACGCTTCCTGGGACAGGGACGTCAGGCATAGTGACTGCCCGGAGCTAGGACGACTCTGTGGATAACGAGTGTTACCCACTCAGGGGTTAGACAGTCAGAGACCGAGTGTCCCAGATTCTGTGTTTAGGTGCCCTGAAGATTCACCTGGGCAGACAGTGGACGACGAAGGGGCTGATATGTCAGTGGGACCAAATGAGCATACGGGTCTTCCTTCCCAGGAAACAGCCCCCACGTGTGCCCCTCGCCCACCCACCCTGCCCCCCACAAAGAGGTAAGACTTGGTCTGGGTCAGAGAGAAAGGGCCTCTGGACCTTAGTAAACTGTATCCCACAAAGAGAGACCAGACTTGTGCCCCTCGCCCACCCACCCTGCCCCCCACAAAAAGGTAGGACTTGGTCTGGGTCAGTTTATTAAGGGCCTCTGGACCTTAATAAACTGTATCCCACAAAGAGAGACCAGAATAGATAGATGATGATAGATAGATGATAGATAGATAGATAGATAGATAGATAGATAGATAGATAGATAGATAGATAGAAAATAGAGAGATGATTGATAGAAAAAAAGAAACAGAAGCAAAAGAAATGGAGAGAGGTAAAGAGAGACAGAGATTGGAGTTAGCTATAGAGATGAAGAAAGAGAGATTGGAAAGATAGAAAAAGGAGTAGAAAAAAGTTGGAGAGAGAGAGATCTGGAAGGAACAGAAACGTCGAGGAGGAGAGAGGCGACATGGCGCTTACCGACTGCCTTCAAGGAGGCGTACTTGTTGAGCTCTTTTCCGGGCGGCTGCTGCTCGTAGGGGTTGGAGATCTGACCCAGATTGGGGTACGAATGCGGATGTCCCATCTGCTGCAGCAAAGGCGAGGTGGGCACAGCATTGTTCATCTGGGTGGTGTCTGGAAGTAAAGAGACAGAGGGAGAAGGTCACAGACCGTGCAGGACCTCTGGCCACCCACACCACTGTCACATCCATCGAGACCCAAACTCCCGGCCCTTTGGGGACACGGGAGGAAGAACAGTGGAGGATGTGCAGACACAGCAGAAACTACTGAATGCACAGTCCTCACTAGACAGCAGCTGAGGACAGATGGGTAGAGGGCAAAGGGTACGCCGAGAACTTCTCCACCTCCCTCTAAATTAACACACGGTCCTATCACTGTGGAAATTATTTTTTGTTATCGAAACAATACGTGTATAAAAAGATCATCGTCTTCAGTAACGGTCAATGGGATGGAAGTCAGAACAACAACGAGAAGCCATTCCTTTGCCAAGAGACTGGAAAAAAAATGAAAAGAACTGAAAGACAGCGATGGTGACAAAGATGTTGGAAACTGGGCGGTCCCATAAACTGATCGCGGACGTGGGATTTGCTGTATTTGCAGAAAGGAATCTGGGAGTGTGTATTGCAATTTAAAGTGCATGTGGATGTTGACCAAATAATACCGCTTCTAGAAATCGAGCCCTCAGAAAGATAAGCATTAGAATATAAGGATTTTTGTTCAGAGATGGTCTCTGCATCGTTGTTTGTAAAAGAAAAAGAAGAAAAAAAAGCCACACACATAGAAACAATCTGAACTATCGATAAAGGAATTCTTTTTTCTAATTTTAATATTTATTTATTTTTCATTACTTTTGAGCATATCCATTTTCTCTTATTCCCATTCACTGTTTAAATGTATTTAATTATGCAATAATGTACACATACCAAATATACTTATGCAAGTTATTAACTCACCACCCAACTTAGGAACTAAAACATAACGCATGCTCACAAAATTCTTAAACAAATTATTGTACATCCACGTAATGGAATATCATTCAGCTGTTAGAAAAATGAGTTAAAATCAGTTAACTTTGTACCCATCAGACTGGATAGTTTCTTATGGTTTATATATTAAGGGGGAAAAAAAAGATGTCAAAGCAAAGCAAATAATACAGCATTTTTGTTAAAGAAAAGAAAAACTTATGCATATTTTTGTGTGCTATGGTTTGCAAAGACCAAAAAAAAAAAAAAAAAAAAGTAAAGACACATAAACTAGATAGTGGCAACTCTGGGGGAATGAGATGGATGGGGAGAGAGTTTCAAGAAGGTTTCTCTGAGGAAATGTCCTGAGATGGTTCTGGAGATCGAGATGGCAGTTAAGTGTGGTGGGAGATGGAAGGTGCTGGGGAGGGTGTTCCAGGCGGAGAAAACAGCATGGACAAAAGCCATGAAGCCGGAGAGAACGCTCGATGGCCTCTGGCCGTGCGTGGCTGGAGAGCAGGGCGTGAGGGAAGCAGGATGAGGTGGGCTGCAGAGGCTGGCAGGACCCGATGCGGCTTGTTACCCATTTTCGTCTCCGCCCTGAGAGCCATGGGGGGTTTAGACAGGAGGCGAGAGTGAAACGAGAGACAGGTGACAAAACAATGGCTTTGTTTCAGGCAGGAAAGACAGGTGCTCTCCAACTTCATGAAGCACACGTGCCGATCCAGATAAACATGGCAGTGGATGCGCCCATTTCCCAGCCGCGGTGTTGGCTGCCAATGGCCCATAGTTGCCCCTGGTCCCCAGAGAATGACAGAAACCATCACCCAAGGATTATTGTGCTTAATACACTTCACCCTCACCACCCCAGGGTGTCAGCAACTCTAAGGTACAAAGACCAGCCCCTGGACTCGAGGTGGGGATGATTTATGGAGCAATGGATACTGCAGAGCTCCTGTGGATTGGGACAAGTTTAGAGCAGGGGTTGGCACCTTTTTCTGTAAAGGGCCGGATTATAAATAGTTTAGGCTTTGCCATCCATGGGTTGGAACTACTTTACTCTGCCTTGTAGCAAAAAAGCAGATACAGACATTATGTAAATGATGGGTGTGGCTGCATGCCAATAACACTTTATTTAGTGACAGCTGAATTTGGCCCAAGGGCCATAGTTTGACAACTCCTGGTCTAGACTTTATCTGAGACTGAGATCCTTTTGTGTGGCTCCTTTATCTTCCCTATTTTGTTTTTCTTACAAGCTTAGAGTTGTGTGTGTGTGTGTGCGTGCGCGCACGTAGGGCACACTTTTGAGTCTCATGTACCTCAACCTTTTCTCTCAAGCACTGTTTCAAGACAATCCAACCCATGCCATGTGTGCAATGTGATGGGCTTTAGAAACCAATAAACTCAAGTGGAAAGAGGCAAGGATTCCACAGCTGAGCCACAGAGATAAGGATGGTATTTTTATCACCACACATACATGGGCCATCACACAAGCCCAGTTGTCTAATGGGAAAGTCAGCAAACATAAGCCAAGTAACCCAGCCTGTAGCCAGCATCCAAGAAGGCAGATGTATCCTTCTGCCATGACAGCTTCTTGGCTAAGATTCGGCTGGAGCAGAAGATTAACGAAGTCATGGCAGGAAAGGTATTGCATAAGGCACAGCTTTTGCTGTAGCTTAGACTCTAAGATCCTCTGACATTTTCCTCTCTAGAATGACCTGCTGGGGAAGTCCATCTGCTTCCCCAGGCATGTCAGGACAGACATGTTTTGTGCCCAAATATTGGTCCAGCTAGAAGTAAATTACTAGAAGTTCTCATTGTGCAGTTCTGTGGGGTTTTTTTTCATCATACATTTTCCTAGTGGACAGTTCCTGTTTTGTATGTCGAGAACCACCACTTCCTTGCCACATTACTCTGTCCCCATTTGAGTCATGGGATGAGCTGCCAGTCATGGTGACTGTCTTAGTTTGGGTTTCCACAGACGTCACTGAGATAAGAACTCAAGTGCAAGCAAAATGGGGAGGTGATCTCAGAAATACTGGTAGAAAAAGGGCGAGGGAGGGAGACAGGGAAGAGAAAGAAGCAGGTAAAGAGTGCAGAAGACAAGCAAGAGGCAACTGTGGTGACCTGGAATTTAATCCCTGAGGGCTGAGAGACAGTCTTTCCTCAGCATTTGCATGTCCATGGCCATGTTCATGGGCAGAGTAAGCTCCTACTCAGAGATGTAAGAGCTGGCAGTTAGAAATCAGGCCAATACCTCACCTTTCTGGCCACAGAAGTGAGCGTGTGACCCAAATCAGACCACTCGCAACACCTCCTCCTTTTCGCACTGAATGGGCCAGAGGAGAGCATGTGGTCTAGACGGGGCCAATTAGAGTTCTTCCCTGAATTTTTCTATTTGGAACCTTTGGAGTCAATGGAAGCAGAGAGCTGTAAATTCAAGTGAGTTTGAATCTGCCATGTAGACAAAATCTTTCTTCGTTTTGTGAAGACATAAGGACAACAGGAAAGAAGGAGAGGAGACAGGGAAGGTGCTTGCTCGATAAGCTCGTATGCTTCGGGGTTACTGTCCCTTGCAAGGTAGACTTTTAACTCCTGGGATTCTTGTCTGGAACTGAACCAGAAGGGAGGCTGCTCTCGGGGCTCTAAGGAAGGCGAGAGGATGGTGTCAGAAGGAAAAGGCATTGCCCCTGGGTTTGGTACAAAGCTTCAGCAGATATTTCGAACAGCAAATTGCTTTAATAGTGCATAGAGAATACCCAGGGATACTTGTAAGCTAGTTAGTTAACTAATGTCTTAATGGCAGGTCTTTTTTTTTTTTTTTCTTTCTTTCTAGAAATAGATCCTCAACACTAGCCTGTCCAGTTACAGAGCTGAGACCTCCTAAGCCCATCATCCAGTGGGAGCTATTTCTCTCACGTCTTTGCTCCTTTGGTCCCAGATCTTACCCACTAGGCTCAAATCCTGTTTCCAGGACTGCCAGGGGAGATGCGAAAGACTTCATTAAAAAAAAAAAAAAACTTTAGAGATGTTTTTCACCACTTGGGACAGCCTTTTATATTATTAAATGGAATATTCAATATTCCATTATAAAGTATTTGCTTTTAGATGATTTCGCCCAAGTCCTGAGCTACCTCCAGGGCAGCAGCAAGTAGTTCCTTAATGTAAGTGGGCATGACGAAGATGGTTCACCAAAGTGATCTTTCACAAAAGAGGAGGCGAGGCTGCCCCAACCTTCCTGCTTTCAATTCAGAACCACGGGAAGCAAATTTCTGGCAGTTTTAGATAGCCATTTTGTGCTAGCTTCCAGGCATTGAATATTCAGAAATATTGAAATCCAGTCTCAGAGCAGCAATGAAGAATTATTAAACAGACATTTCTGACTGGATTTTTAAAATGTTATTTTCATTTTACCGAATGGGAAGATGGACCAGCCCTGGCGACCCAGTTTTTCTGTGAATTTTCCACAGATATATCCAGCTAAGGAAGAGAAACAAAAATGTAGATGGAAAGTAAGTTCCGATTGGCATCCTAGAAAAATAGAACAATAGGGTGAGTGAAGAGTAAGGTATGGGTTATAATCTGCAAATCCTGCCTTTGCCAAATGAGAAAAGAGATTGATAGATGATGGTGATGATAGTTCGATAGACAGACAGACAGACAGACAGACGATAGATGATAGAAGATGGATAGATGATAGATTTAAATATATGTGTATATGTAATATATGTATGTGTGTATGCATATATATGTATTTGTGTATGTGTGTATTTATGTGTGTATGTGGGTATGTGTGTGTGTATATATGTGTGTGTGTGTCTGTGTGTGTCTGTGTATACACACACACACACACACACATATACATTTTTTTGCACATTCATGACCGGAAAGTGTGTGTGTATACACACACACACACACACATACACATTTTTTTGCACATTCATGACCGAAAGGGGAATCCAGTAGGACCAATGATGTCTTATTCTTAGCAGGATCATTTCTCTTCTAGACACACCTCAGCCCCGGAGATATCTTACCTTTCTCACCTCTGTAGAAAGAGTCTTCCTACCCAATGCCACAAAAAGACTTTCCCTGCCCCATTATAATGTTGCAACTCATTCTGACACTTAGAAATAATTCATGAGGACTTGC